CATTAAAAGGTCACATGATATAAGCTCACATTTCTAGAAAGCTCTCTCACTTCTCATGTCCAACATAGGATTGTTCATCTCTCAGTAGCTACTCAAGAAATTCATAAATTCCATTTGTAATACACTGGGAAATGAGTACAGTCTGTTTAAATCAAGGGTTTCTACATTGCTAGTAAATAGCCTGGTCCTGATTCTATTTTTTTAAAAGTGATGGTTATATTGCTGCAAATTGCACATTCTTGTTTTGAGTTAAAAGAGACAAAAGCTAGACATGGTATGTTCTTAGAAATCTGGAGAATGTTACTAATAGCTTAGAAAATGGAAACACAAAGACTGAAGTCAGGAAGCTTTTCACCAATGCCTGTAAGACTCACACTCCCTTTCATTATCAATTCTACAAACTGGGAGTTAATTGCATTTCAGGGCTCATTGCAAGATACATCTTTTCAAAGTGCTTTCCTTAATTAGTACAAACATTTGGTCCCTGAGAAAGGTGGAAGTATAGCTTGCTTTTGTGTTTGTTAATGTTTTCTGTCTTTTATTCACTGTTTACACCTAGAGGCCCATGTGAATGACACATTTTTATTAAAATAAGGAATAAATATTATGTAAATTATGCCCCCAAACAGCAGCTATGGAGCCAATTATTTTAAGGCAGCTTTGGAAGGATTCATTTTAGTTTTCTAACCAAAACAAAGTGAAAAGAATAATGTATATGTTAATGGCTTCCTACATCTCAATATTAGCATTTGGAGACAATATACCAATCATCTTTGCATCCCAGAAACTGGGAGAATGTATCTAACATAGCAAGTGTTCAATTAAAAGCTTCTAATAACATAGTGCAATTACTGAGGCAATCAATAATATTATGGTGCAATTATTATATATAAATATTTTATTTTATTTAATAAAATGTATATGCTGAAACACCCACATGGTATGCATGTATGTAAGACATACATACTGATTTGCAGTCCTCACATATATCTTTTCAGAATTGCTTTCCAGGAGTATAATTGGTCCTTCATTTTTCTTTATTTTTATTTTTATTTTTAACATTTATTCATTTTGGAGAGAGAGAGGGAGAGACAGAGACAGAGACAGGGCATGAGCCAGAGAGCGGCAGAGAGAGAAGGAGACACAGAATCCAAAGCAGCTCCAGGTTGTGAACTGTCAGCTCAGAGCCCCACGCAGGGCTTGAACTCTCGAACTGCGAGATCATGACCTGAGCCGAAGCCAGACACTTACCCGACAAAGCCACCCAGACACCCCTTTAGTCCTCCATTTAAAATGAAAATATATATATTTATTTTTTGAGAGAGAAAGAGAGAGAGAGAGATAGAATGTGAGCAGGGTAGGGGCAGAGAGAGAGGGAGACACAGGATCTGAAGCAGGCTGCAGGCTCCAAGCTGTCAAGCGTTGAGCCCAATGTGGGGCTCAAACCCATGAACTGCAAAATCATGACCTGAGCCGAAGTCAGATGGTTAACTGACTGCGCCATCCAGGTGACCCAATTAGTCCTCCAGTTTTACCAATGCACAACCCAGTTTGGCTTACTCTATGTCATCTTCAGAATTACTGATAGTTTGGAACAGCAACTCCTCTCTGGTGGGGACTCTCTTGTGAATTTTAGGATGTTCCAACACCAGCCCTGACCTCTAGTGACAGATGATAGTATTCCTCCCCCAGGTGTGACAACCAAGCATGTCTTGAGATATTGCCAAATATCTCCTGGTGTGCGTGTGTGTGCGTTGTCCTTAGATGAGAACCACTGTTCTATATGGAATGAGTGGGTTTTTTGTGTGAACGTTGGTACAGAAAGAACAACACTGAGAGAAGTTTGTCTCTGAACCTCAAGTTTTTCCTCCCTTCTGTATACCTTTTTGAACATATATTCTACTCATAATGTTTTGAAAATTTGATTGTTTTGTAAATATAAATTACAGAATATATCATTAATATCTAATTTTCAACGTTTATTTATTTTTGGGACAGAGAGAGACAGAGCATGAATGGGGGCGGGGCAGAGAGAGAGGGAGACACAGAATCGGAAACAGGCTCCAGGCTCTGAGCCATCAGTCCAGAGCCCGATGCGGGGCTCGAACTCCCGGACCGCGAGATCGTGACCTGGCTGAAGTCGGACGCTTAACCGACTGCGCCACCCAGGCGCCCCAATATCTAATTTTCAAAAGAAACTCTTACCAATTGTTTTCACATCAAAGTAAGAACATCAAATATTTTTATTCTCAAACTGTGTTGTCCTCTTTTGGTAAAGGATGGACACATTTAAAAATATCTTTTCCAAAGCTCTAAGTTTTTAATGTAGTAAGAATAATTTTACTCTTTATTTAAGTGTCAAAAATGTTTTTGGAATATGGGATTTTACGGAATAATGAAGCATAGTGGTCTTTCCTCTCATTTGACAACTAAGCATATTGACTCATATTTTCATCCCTTAATCAGTTATCAATTATTATAATTGGGTTTATGCATATTATTTTATATAGTTTGCCTATCCTGCAAATGCAAGCAATGCCCAGCTCTTGATGTCAGTGTGACAGAGGGGTTGTCCATTGATAAGGTGTTGTTTCTGTACTCACAGTTGGAACAGGAGTGTTGAATATACACATTAGGGCACAGAGAGTTGTTTCTGTCCATGCATGGGTGCTGTGGGCATTTCTTTTAAAACTGAAATAATAATGCTTATGAAAAAGGAAATTGAAATCCTTTATAAACATTACATAGATATCAAGGAGAACATGTACTATAATAGCTTCTGTTCAAAAAGATAATAAATAAAGAGACTAAGAATAAAGACTTGATGGGAGAAAGTAGACTGATTTGTTAAAGATTTCAAACTTTCTAGGTTTTTAGGATTATCCAAGGTATAAATACAAGGAAACTAAAGAGTCTTGTCCATGCATCTAACCTCTTGATTTTATCAAAATTGAGATAAAAAGAAAGAAAGAGAGAGAAAGAAAGAAAGAGAGAGGGAGAGAGAGAGAGAGAAAGAAACAAAGAAAGAAAGAAAGAAAGAGAAAAGAGAAGAGAAGAGAAGAGAAGAGAAGAGAAGAGAAGAAAAGAAAAGAAAAGAAAAGAAAAGAAAAGAAAAGAAAAGAAAAGAAAGGAAGAAAGAAAGAAAATAAAAGAAAAAAGGGGCGCCTGGGTGGCTCAGTCGGTTAAGTGTCCAACTTCGGCTCAGGTCATGATCTCGTGGTTCATGAGTTGGAGACCGTGTAGGGCTCTGTACTGACAGAGCCTGGAGCCTGTTTCGGATTCTGCGTCTCCTTCTCTCTCTGCCCCTCCCCGACTCATGCTCTGTCTCTCTCTCTCAAAAATAAAAACATTATTTTTTTTTTTAAGAAAAAGAAAACATCTTTTTGAGCATGCGAGGAAAGCTTTAATGATCACTACTGCATGACATCTTACAATAGAAAAAATATTTAGTGAGCACTTCCTGACTGTGCTAAGGATTTTATAATAATTTAACTTAATTCTATCAACATATTTAAACAACATTATTATTCTTTGCTCATATATTTGAGATTCAGCAAGGTTGAATGAGTGGAAGATCACACAGCTACTAAGATGTCAGAATTCCCACCCCGGTCTTCCTGTCTTTAAGAGCTAAGTACTTCTCAGGGCCCCTAGGGGGCTCAGTTGGTTGAATGTCCAACTTCAGCTCAGGTCATGATCTCACAGTTTGTAAGTTCCAGCCCTGTGTCAGACTCTATGCTGACAGCTCAGAGCCTAGAGACTGCTTTAGATTCTGTGTCTCCCTCTGTCTCTGCCCCTCCCCCACTCGTGTGTGCGTGTGTGTGTGTGTGTGTGTGTGCACATGCTCTCTATCTCTCTCAAAAATAAACACTAAAAAAAAAGAAGTACTTCTTTAAGTAGCACTCTATGCTGCCTTAGACAAATAAGCATTTTTTGAGTGACTGTTAGGTGCAAGTGACTCTGTTTAGCATTTCATGCGCATTGCTTCACGAATTCTTACAATAATCCCAAAATATAGATGTTAATTTTGTTTTACAGATAAGGGTAGAACATTTCCTATATGCCCACAACTCTTGTGACAGAAACAGGAGTCAGAGATGAGTATTATTCCTAAATACTTGCTTTGTACTGTAGCTGTATTTCCTATCACTCAGGACACAAGATTCTCTAGTTTGTAGTTCAAGATTTCTATATAGCTTTTCCATTCAATTGTGCTCATATCTATCAAGTCAAATGGCAAATGTGATCTATGTGGTGAACAATAAACAACTGACCCTTGACAAATGCAGGATTTAGAGGTGTTGACCTCTTCCATTCATACATAATTGAGAATCCACATATAACTTTTGGCTACCCAAAAACTTAAATACTAAGCCTACTGTTGACTGAAAACCTTACCAATAACATAGTCAATTAACATATATTTCATGTTATATGTACTAGATACTGTATTCTTACAATAAAGTAACTAGGGAAAAGAATTTATTATTAAGAAAATGGTAAGGAATGGGACACCTGAGTGGTTCAGATCGTTAAGCAACTGACTCTTGACCTTGGCTCAGGTTATGATCTCATAGTTCATGAGTTCAAGCCCCATGTTGGGCTCTGTGCTGTCACATGCTTAGGATTCTGTCTCTCCCTTGCTCTGCCCCTCCCCCCTCAAAATAAATAAATAAACTACAAAATAAAGAAAATCATAAGGAAGGGAAAATACATTTGTAGTACTATTATCAAAAAATAATAATAATAAATCTACGTACAAGTGGACCTCCGCGCTTCAAGGCCATGTTGTGCAAGGGTTACCTGCATTCAAGGCTGTTAGCTAAATCTGACAGAAACCCACCTGCTACACTACTCAAAAAATCAATTAATATTATAATTTAATTATATTAATATAATAGCATGCAAATTAAATATTTCACATTTTCTTTTATTCATTTAAAATTACTGCAAGAGGCAATAAAGATCTTTACATGTCTAAAGATTAAAGCATCCCATACCTTACTAAGCTATTGGCGCTGTCAGGATCTTGTGCCAAAACTGTGCCAACAACAGTCCCGATCTTGGCGTTTTCATAGACTTCCATGACATAAGAAGGCATGGAAAACAGTGGTGGTTCATCTACATCCCCAACGATGATCTTCAGCATGGTAGCATCTTTAAAAGGACCCAAGTGAGAAAAGCGAAAATCAAGGTGTGTATTTGCTCCTTCTATGGTGAGAGTATATGACTTCTTTTTCTCATAGTTCAGTGGCTGTTGGGAAAAATATATATAAATAAGTTTTCCACTATTATGAGTGCCATGACATTTCAAACAAGCCCTTTTTTCCCATTCTTTAAAACAAACATGGATAGATTTAAGTCAATCTATTTCCATTTGTCAACAGACTATGAAGTTCATCTTCACAATAACATCTAAAACAAAAATCATGAAAGCTCAAGTCCGAATCAACTTTAATTTTTCACAGGTATAAATATGATAAAAACTAGGAACAAAAAAATATTTCCCAAAGGCAAACCATCCTTAGTCTCCAGTAACTTCTACCTTCTCTTGAGTCTGCATTAGCAATCTTAAAAAAATATTTGTTGCTAATTTTTTGACTTTAAAAATAGGGTTTTGTTTTGCATTTAAATAAATTATGGTGTATTATTGATTTTTATCTATCATCATCTTACTTTCACCTTGCTGGCTTTACACTTGGTATTTTATTTTATAATCTGATAAATTTTAAGTTTCCCATTTAACAATATTTCCTTAGAATCTTCGTAAAATATTTTATACAGACTTTTGAATCTTATTTTTATTGTATTAATTATATTTATTTTCTATTTTGATGCTAAAACCACTTCATGTATTTGTTTTGTGTTAATTTTCTTTAATATATGTTGATGTTTGATCTACTTTTTAAAATTATAATCTTTTTTCTTGAGTTTTTTATTCATTTTGAGAGAGAGAGCATGAGCAGGGGAGGAGCAGAGGGAGAGGGAGGGAATCCCAAGCAGTCTCTGGGAGGTCGGTGTGCATAACACAATGTGCAGCTTGAACTCACAAAACTGTGAGTCTGACACTTAGCTGAGTCATCCAGATGTCCAAAATTATAATCTTTTTCTATTTGTTTATACCATTTGCTTTTTTAGCTTTGAGTCCATATCAATACTTTCTCATAGTTTTTTTAGGGTTTTTTTTGTCTTCTATTTTAAAATCATCTGGCCAATATATATATTTCTTCTATTAATAATATAGGTCAAGAGTCATGAATTTACTTATAATAATGAATTTGCCCCAAGGAATATATGGTCTTTACAGGATATAAAATGGTAAATAGACATTTATATCACTGTATATTTAATTCCATAGACATACTAGTTTTATGAACATGATAATGATACAAAATCAGATATGAGAGTACCTATAAGCAGCTATGTATCGTTTCTAAGAGGAAGTACTTTTCCACATAACTGAATGCAAAATTTTAGACTTGATGCATGTAATAGACTCTATGACCTAAAATGAGCTCAGATTTAGGTTAACAGTGTCAAAAGTTTTCAGAGTGATGTTAGTGCAACGGATCCAGAGGTCAGCCGTTTTAAAGCCTGGTGAAGTATCCACTGATGCTGGTCTGCCTGATTAATACCTATGGGAAGAAACTGAAAAAAATTTCATCCCTATTTCTGCACTGATTTTCTACTAGGATGCTTCAGCCGTGCAGCCTTCTTTCTTGGCAGTGTATAAGAACGATTATTTCCTGTGGGGCAACTCAGATCGTCTCTTTTACCCTAAGAGCCAAGGAGAAGCTGATCAGAAAGAATGTCCTTAATGGGATTTTATAAACACAATGATCAGTCCTACTGATGATTATTTCCCTTATCTCTTCTGAATTGCCTTGGAAAATTGGCCTTCCTAGAGATTGCATAGAAGATTGCATAGAAGGAAAAAACAATCATTTAATTTCCAAATGAGATATTAAGAACCTAGAACCTATCATACATCTCAGGGACACGGATAATACCGGGTCACTGCAATAGTTTACAAGTTTTTATAAGACAAAGTGAAAATGTAAAAAATTATTAAAGACTCAAATGCTTAAAAGTAGGCCATATATCATATATACATATATATATGTGTGTGTGTGTGTGTACATATATATATATATATATGATAAATTACTATATATTTTAGATTTCTGTATATTTTTTATTTTTTTAAATCTTTTATTTATTTTTAAGAGAGAGAGAGAGGGGAAGGGCAGAGAGAGAGGTAGACACAGAAGTGGAAGAAGGATCCAGGCTCTGAGCAGTCAGCATGGAGCCCAACACGGGGCTTGAACCCATGAACTGTGAGATCATGTCGTGAGCCAAGTCGGGCACTTAACCAACTGAGCCACCCAGGCACCCCAAGATATATATATTTTAAAGAAGTGTTCATTGGTTCTGCAGTTTATGACTCCACCAATTGTGAGTCATTTCTATCTGAGGGAATTTAAATTACAAATAAATTGCCCCTTTTCCTTCCTTGATCCTTTTCTCCTTAACATTAGTGAATGAGAATTTGTCTTTCACTAATTCAGTACATCTCATTTGAATCTAAATGGTTATCCTAGAAAGAGCTCACACCTACCACCTATCAGGGATTGGGTAGATGGATATGATCCCTGCTGGGCACAGAGGAGCATGGGATGTCAGAATCCAGGTATTTGCTCATGGAAAGCAACATCCTTGGCAGGTTTTAAATATGTTTAAATCGATGAATATGTTATAGTCAACCTGCTGCATGTGGTAAACTTCAATGATTAAGGCTCCTGTCTTTGAACTTCAGTGTTTGAGACATTAAAACTAAAACTAAAACTAAAACTAAAACTAAAACTAAAATTAAAACTAAAACCAAAACAAAGCCCCTAGGATTTGTTTACTGGGGATGCTTAACATCTCTTTTCCACTGTAACAGAGGATTGTAAGAGTCATCTGCATTTATTCATGTTGTGGACTTATGCATCTTTCTGACTCTCAATGAAATTTGTAGAGGTAATTCTGGCCGCCTCTACCCTATCAAATATTACTATCAAGCTGTGCATTTAATATGACAGGCATCTCTTGGTTTGTTTTTAGCAGGTCCTTTGGCAACTTAGATGTCATTTATCTTAACACTAGCCTACCTACTGCTAAGGTACAGGCTGTTTATGTGGACACATGGTTTCATGCTTATGATTCTCTAGCATGTATTTAACTACCTCAAGGCAGTGACAATCATTTTGTAGGAGTTGTTTGCCACAACTGGCTGATGGATGGATAGGGATCCATCTAGAGTCACTAAGGAATGAGAATATTATTTAAGATTGAGACAGGGTTTTAGAAGCAAATAAATTAATGTAAATGGAAACATTTTAACAACCTCATTTATATAGAAAAACTGCTAAATTGGAGATTGTAGTAGTATGTATAAAGTATGTTAATGCTTTGTTTTGCATTAACATGACAACAGTACATAGGTATTAGATTAGGATTATAAATATCCTTTTTCCTACTCCAAATACTCATCATCCACACATTTTAAGCAGATCTTCCCGTAATTGCCTCCTAATCATTTGTTCCTGGGAAACTATTTAAAACTCTGCCAGTGGGTTGTACTTCCCATAGTTACTAGATTTTTTTTTTTTTATTTAAAAATAGTATATCAAAAACAGTATAATAGGAATGGTGAAATCTATTATCTAAAGCCTGATTTTGATAAGAAGATACTGGAGGGGGGCGCCTGGGTGGCTCAGTCGGTTGAGCGTCCGACTTCGGCTCAGGTCACGATCTCACGGTCCATGAGTTCGAGCCCCGCGTCGGGCTCTGGGCTGATGGCTCAGAGCCTGGAGCCTGCTTCGGATTCTGTGTCTCCCTCTCTCTCTGACCCTCTCCCGTTCATGCTCTGTCTCTGTCTCAAAAATAAATAAACGTTAAAAAAAAAATTTAAAAAAAAAAAAAAAAAAAAAAAAAAAAAAAAAAAAGAAGATACTGGAGGGAAAAATGGTCAAAAGAAAGAAAATTTGCCCAGGCTATTGAGTTACCACAGAAAGCAAAAACATGAAATGTCAGGCTGAAGTTTTTAAAACACAAAACATCCATTTTTCCTGCCTTAAACCAAAATAAAAACAGGTACAGAATAACTCCATAAACATGAGGCATTGCATGAACTTGATAAGGGGTATTATATAGCCAGAGACTGTTCATGAGAATACGAAACTGATATTTTTTCCGTTCTATATTAAAGTGTCAACTGTCCATGCTTTTAGAGGTCTTTCTGGCTGTATTCTGAAAATGTTCATACTGAACAGTAATTAAAACACTCAAGCTAAAGAAAAAAAAAATAAGGAAAGAAATCTTCCATCTAGAACTATCTGAAGACTCTTTGAAAAATAAATCTTTGATAATTTGTTTACCGATTATCTACTCCATAAATTTTGCCTCAGCAAGATATTTGGTGTGGGGGATGGAGGTTTATAATTCAAATATAGTTTATTTAATTTAACAAAATTGCAAACTTATTTCAACTTTCTATTTTTAGTAACCTGTAAGTCTGGATCATCAATTAGTGTTTAATATGAGAAGTAGGTATGCATAAATTATACAAAAGCATTCTACTGGAGATTACTAATCTAGCACTTATGTTCAGGAAGAAATATTCTAGGAACACGATCAAATGCTTTTTTTCATTTTTATGGAATTTACCGGGGGTTTAATGCTCTGGACATGTTCGACTGGTTCAAGCTCTCTGATTTATAAACACAGTCTATCATATCAGCTCATACTTAACAAATGCAAGGATTTGTGTTGCCAAATTTCGTAAATTAAAATTATTTTTGATAGAGTATGTGTCAGTACTATAATTACCACAAATACAACATGGGTAGGTATTGACAATTCTCAACTTAAAAGAAAAATTAAATGCACTTTAATCACATGAAATTGTGGATATCAGCAATGGATAACATACACAAAAGATAATTTTATATGATTCGATGCAAGATACCTGTCTTTCTAACTTCTAACCACCCAAACATTCCTGGGGTAATTCTACTTGTGATGTGCTCCGTTTTACTACAATGGTACTGAGAAGGATTCCGTAGGTACTCAGAAATGCAAAATTAAATTAATCAATTTACATTCCCTCTAATTCAGTCACTTGTAGGATGAGACTCCAGGTTTGGTGTTCAGAAATTTCAGCTTTGCAGCTGTGGGCCATAAAGGTGTTTTTTTTGTTGTTGTTGTTTT